GTTTGATCTTGAGGTTGAATAGATACACAATTTGGATGTAGACGAACCGATATATGAATGAATTCATTTAGATTTATTACAGATTTATTCGTATGATGATCTTTATTTTGAACAATTAACTCAGGTTGATTATTACAGGATGGGTGTTGGTGTAGTTGCGGATGTCTGTGTCCCTTGTTGATCTAAGAGAACAGCCACACATCTACATCCTCTAGCGTGTACAGTTTCTAGTTTTTTGTCTCTCTATACGATATATGTCAGCAATGCATTCGATGCATCTGAAAGATGTTTTTTTTTGCAAACATCTGATGAAGATTTTTTCATTCTGCTTCACTCCATGAATTTCACATTCACCGAAAATGCAAACATTATTATTTTACGTTCTTTGTCTGGGATTCAGTGACATCTCACAACAACAGTCGCTTGTTAGATTAGAGAATTATTTGCCAACTCTGTTGTGGGTTTTTTCCCAGTCGAAGTTCTTTTATAAGTGTTGATAAAGATATGAAACCACATCATTTATAATAAACTTCATAAACGACAGGTATGCAATACGAATACTTTATTAGAGATAAAATAAGTTTTACTCAGTGTCTGTCTGGGTTTTTAAAACCATATTTTCTAACCAAATGAACAGCATAGAAAGTACCTATAAGTTTACAACTGTCTGTAGATTTAATTGATTTTTCTAAATTTCTTTCATGTGTTTGTAGTTATTGCTAAGCAATATATGACACCATACGGTAGCTTATGCAACTGTAAAAGGTATTGTTATGTTAACCAAAAGGTGAAAAACAGAAGAATCGTTGTTTTCAACGGCAGGGAGCATTGTTTCTTTGTTAACATTTGTATTTTTGTTGATTTTTTCAGATATTTCGTTAAAACTTATATTACGAATACGCGAGCATTAGTTATTATTCGATGTCTACGCGCAATTTGAATGAATCGATTTTAAACCATTTATTTCTTCCTCATGATCTACCAACATCAGAAGACACTGATTATTTACTTCAATCTAAACATCAAAATGAGCATAAACTTCTGGAAAGCTTCAAAGACTTTTTGGATTCTTTAGCTCCGCAAAAAACTCTACCAATCTTTTCAATTCTTAAGATCTGTATTCAAAATTGGTTAGTAATACAAAATATACAAAATTGCACTATATCAAATTTACAATCGACTATTGGAAAGTTAACACCTGGCGATTTCCTTCCGCTATATTTTCATGCACAAAATGCTGCCATTTTGATTGAAATGGATGAAAATCCTCCTAATCAACCATTAATATCATCTTGGCAAGTATTATTACCGACGGAAACAGTCACATCATCTTTACAGCCATATATATCCTACTATCCAACACCAACATTTCGATTATCAAATTCGTCTCAATTAATTACTTCGATCCAGTGCGAGTTGTTAGTCGAGTTTATGACTAATACCATTGAATATCCCAAATCTTCGAAAGCATCCCATTCATTCAATGAAACACGTGAAGTACCAGTCGCTCATTATGTTTGCCAATGGTGGATAACACAATTGCCAGGCATAAAAAACGAAAATCTCACGGATACATCAATTCAATTTAAGAAAAAATATCGTGATCAAATTCGATGCAAATATTCATATTCAACATCACCTTTCCGACGTTTCGGTTTATGGATGACGATGAAAGTGGTTCTTCAAACCATTTTAACAAAACGTTTAGGACAGATTGGCAGTGTCGTTTATAAAATACTGATCACGCATTTTCTCATTTATTATATTCACAACCGACAAAGATTAAAAGATACACAAATTTCGACTGATTTACTCGTCTATTGTCTTCGAAAAATTGTTCGAAGATTGAATAAAATTGAAAATATGTCTTTATCTACTGATTTAAATGATGTGACACAATGGATGGAAAGTGTCACAGGACAAATCAAAGAGAAAATTGAATATATTTTCCCAAGATCAAATTGGCAGCACCACTTTCACATAGATGAAAAACAAATCCATGAATTGAATACAAATCAATCTAAAATATATGAACATTCTTTTACAAAATTAAAAGATTACTTAAAAAAATCTCAATCGTCTTCATCGTATCAACAATTTTCTCGTAATTATAATTCTGACAGTTCTATACCAACGAGCTTCAAAGGCGAAAACGATGAATTACCTTCCGTCGCCAAATACGACTATGAAACCATTGATTTCGCATTAATACGCATCGAAATCTGGGTACAATTGTATTTAGAACAATGGATCAATCAGGCCTTATCATTAGAAAATGGAGGTGAACGTTTTGAAAAGTTACAAAGTTTCTTCGAAAATTATCAACGTACAGCTTTACAACATTATTATTCAGACAATAAATCAACAGATCCTGTCGGTTATAGTCGATATATTTTAACATCATTAAGAATAATTCGTTTTATTCATATGAAATTATGTGAAGATAAACGATTTGAACGACTGAAATCTCATGCCATTCAGATTCCGAATCTTTTGGAATTATTTGAATATTTAGTTTTACCAAGTCGCGATGAAATGATTCGAGCTCGTGTTATTTACGATTATTTTAAAGAATTTAGTGAAAAACAATATCCTGAACTTTTAAGTAATATTAATTCGAAGAATGCATTTGGCGTGTTTTTTGCTAGTCGATCAGAACAAATGACTAAAGTTCTGACAGCAATTCAAGCACAAGTTGAACAAGATAAAAACGCTAAAACACAAGAAGTGATTCAAGAGAAAGCAAAATATGAGACATTGATCAACGAAGCAAAGGAACTGATATGTGAATGTAAAACAGAATATCCTTATACAAAATGTGATCGATGTAAGATCATGCAAAAAGCAAACAGCATAAAAGTAGAGATTTACGAATGTCCAATACCATCGATACGTGAAAGTGCATTGGCTGTGATCTTTGAATTACAAATGCCTGTCGAAATTCGATGTTATCGAGATATACTTTGGCAATTTATTAATCGTCCGAATCCAGTACCATCGAGTAAGATGCACGAATGGTTGAGTATGTCTCCTCATAAGAGTAAACTAAGTCAATACTGCACTGGTTCATACAATCGTAAAGTAAAATTAGTATCATCGACTAAATCTACATCACAAACTCATTATTTTGCACCACGATCTATTTCATGCACACCTTTGGAAGATTTTTTCATCGAGAACAGTTTACAAGTACAGATCTCTTCAACAAAACCAGCTGCATTTCAAGATGAATGTCTCACATTAACACCGCAACTAACCGATGTTAATTATAAACTTTTGCAGTTTTCTGTTGATAATACGAAATTCGTACAAAATCAGGTAATTGCTCAACTATCAAATTGTTCATTATCACTCAAACCATCACAATTTGTTGAATTTGGTTCATTTCGGTCTGGTCATCGTTTGCAATGGTGGAATCTTTTGAGTATAATAGAATTAGATTCTCTATCAATGAATGAAGAAAGTGTTGCCATACTTATAACCCATTCACTTTGGCAATATGGTCCTATGACAAATGATCGAGAAGATCTCATTTGTTACTGGTGTCCAGAATCACATCAACAATTACTAGATGATGGTTTTGTTGATGAATTAATCTTACGAATAGATCGTCGTTTAAATGAATGTCAATGCAATTGGCAACATGAATTAGTGTTAGTAATTCTTACAATTATTGTAATGAGACTATTGACTATTTGTAATTCAACAAAGGAAACTCGAGTGATTGATTTGGCTTTAAAATGTCGAAAGATAGCTGTAAAATGGATTGAACTAATTACAGAGAGTATTCAAAATCCATCTTCATTAGAATTTGATAAAGTCGAAACATTACGTGATAAACTCGCTATTATTGGTTTAGCTGGTTTATTAACATTTTCATTACATATAGATAATGTGTTGTTATTGAATGAACATATTATATGTTTACTTAAATTAGCAACGACTGTTCAAGATAATCTTATTTTGAACAAAAGACAAACTGGTACAAGTGTTTTCATGAGAAATCTAACGCGATTCAATGAACGTAATCTTATATTATTACAACCACATTTAAGTCAATTCCTTGAGACCACTTCCTACGAAAGTTTAAATAAGTTTACTGCTGAATATTGGGCAGTGAACAGAAGTACTAATACGACTGATGAAAAATGGACAAAACAAAACTTGGATATCTATGATGGTACATATCATACTCTGTATGGATTAAATAAAGTATCAATTAATTGTATCAGAGGAAGATTTTTAGTCGATACAGTGACGATTGGTTTTTTACCTGAAAAAATAACGTCGAATCAATTGTTTATTCGTGTCTTTGGAAAGCAAATTTTTGAAGTACAACCATCAGACAAAAAGAATACTTATATCACTAAACACGGGTATCATACAAATCGAAGAGTTCATTACGAGTTTCATTACAGTGATTTTCCTCAGAGTCTGACAATTCAAGAACGACATAGTCAAACAAACAATAGATTTGAATTGATTCCTGTCGATTGTTTCGAAAAAGAATTACCGGATATATTTACCTCGAATTATAGTCACTGGAAGGATAACAAAACTGGAAAAATCGAATTTCGACCAATTTGTTTTCAAGATCCAAAGTTTCTTACTGATATACATTATGTTTTATCAATAGAAGCCGGATATGTCATAACGAGGAATACGGAAACAAAACAAGTATTAATCAATCAATCATCCTCTTTGTTTAAAAACCTATTTGAACGTTATTTTATTCGTCTCGATGATGCACCGTATGTGTACATGTTACGAGACCTTGCCGTCGAAAATACCAAATTAAAGTTTTGTGATATTATTCATATAAATCTGTCTCGATTAGGTATTGCTTTCCGATATGACATCCATCGAAATATGATCACTTCTCGTGAATATTCAGATATGTATATCGATGAAAATCAATGGTTTGGAACATTGACAGGTTTGAAAGCTGGCCTTCTGCTATCACCCACGACAATAAATAATCAACAAAATAAATATCGTCTCTGTCGAAAAGTGATTATTCCATTTGGACATGTTCAAATTGAAAAAACGCCAGATAAAAGTCATCAAACTGTCACTATAGAACGAAAAGCTTCATCAGGAACGTTACTTCGTCAATATTTTGTTTTTATTTTAAATGATCGATTACGTATTCTTCAATCAACTGATAGTCCGACCGAATGGCTCTATTTAGCTTTATTACATGCAATGACATCCAATCCTCTACCAGATCAATATACAGGAATGACTGGCATGGAACGTTCTTTTCAACTATTAAATTCAGCTGGATCTTGGTCTGATCAACCATATGACACAATATCTCTCAATATCCTTTCTCAAATTGCAAGTTTATCACCAAAAACAAATTATTATCCTGAACATAAGACATGTATGATAAAAATCGAATGGAATACTCAAAATTTACCTTGTTCCATTCAACATTTTGGTTATTATTTATTAGCGAAGAAGTTATATGAAACAAGTGAACAATGGAAGTTTATGTATCCAACAAATACATCACATAGTATACAAAAATTGTTTGAAAGTAAAGAATACAACGAAAAAGTATTGGCAAAACTCTATTGGGATTATCGAGATTCATATAATCCCACAGCACGATTATCTTCTGAGATGGAAACAGAAATCCAATCGACAAGTATAACAAAATCATACCAACCAGTATGGGAAAGTTCCACATTGTCAACCATTTATAATAATCGACTCCGATTGACAGATGGTTTATATTCCAGTGGAGATGTATATCTAAAAAATCATTCATCATTGACATGTTTTCCATTATCTCGATGGTTAACAGATGACTATCAACCGAAAAATATTTGGATTAGTTTATTTAAATTAATTGAACAACTAAAAACAGAACAAACTCAAACTCAACCATATGAAGTTGAACGTTTAGAAATACTCTTAGACTTTCTTCGTTACATTTCTCGTAAACACGAAACTCAACCGGTTTATTTTCAACTACTTAAATCAATTCTGAAATCATCAATAACACCACTGCGAACCCTTCCATATTCTGAACTCACTCATTATGAAAACATCCAGGAAACATCAGTTCAATCACATCGTATTAACTTTCCACAACGACTTTACCAACATAATCGAGAAAAAGCTTTACAAGAAATTCGAAGCTGTTTTAACAACAATTGTGAATATGAAAATGAAACTTTTCCAAAATGGCGCATCAACACATCTGAAATCGAGAGATTATTTGAATCTTGGCGTGCCAATGGTATATTTCGCTCTTTTCTAGACAATATTCAGAGCCATATTCAATCAATTACAATTATTCCATTAAATACTAACGTGAACGTTAGTCCTCAAAGTTTTTCAACAGAATCATTTCAAAATCATTATCAAATTAGAATTAATTCTCAAAATAATTCTATTGATCAAAACTTACTTGAATATGCTAAACAAAAATTTTTACATTCTCATTCTAATTATTTCATTAAACCAACTACAGTTACAGAAATAATAAATGAACAACAGAAGGCATTTCCGAAAGAAATAATTCCTTCGACAGATCCTCAAACCAATCCTCTCAGCGATATTGCTAATTATTTTAAAGAATATCTCACAAACAGTTGGGCAAAATTTCAAGCGACAAAAGAGTATCAAAGAAAATATCCTGATTTAAACGAAATCGATAATTTTCTCCGATCTTATTGTGAACAATCGACACAAATGCGGAATGAATTAATCAAATCAATCAAATTAAACAATGAATTATTATTCAAAACAGGGTTAATGATAAGAATCTTACCAACAACATTAATATCTATCTTGCAACAAACTAATACCGATAACTTATCATCATCATCCTTAACAACTGATCAACGCACATTACTCGGTGGTTTGCTTGTTAATTGCGTTGTTGAACAACAAATTGAACGAGCATTATATCTTGCAAATCATGAAAAATGGGAAGATTTTGAGAAAGAAATTTCCAATATTCCTCATACAAATTGGATACCAGCAGATCATATTTCATGGTTAATCATGGAACTAGAAATGAATATTACCATTCGAGAAATTCAAATTCAAGTTGCACGTCATATGATGAATCCAAAAACAACAGAAGACAATTCTTCAATACGTAATACCGTCATGCAAATGAATATGGGTGAAGGGAAAACTTCGGTTATTCTTCCGATGTTAGCACTTAGTTTAAGTTCATCATCATCAAGTTTAGTTCGTATAATTGTATTAAAATCTTTATTTCCGATGAATTATCAATCATTACGATGTAAATTAGGTGGTTTATTAAATCGACGTGTTTTACCATTTGCCTGTCGACGTGATATGAATTTTAGTAATTTACAAGTCGAACAAATCTTTACTCGTCTTCAACAAGGATTAAGTAATTGTGATGTTGTACTGACGTCGCCGGAGGATATACTTTCATTTGATTTGCTGACTATCGATAAATGTCGACGAAATGAATTTGATGTTGGTCAATCAATGTTATCTGTTCAACATTGGTGTAAAACATACATTCGTGATATTTTAGATGAATCGGATGAAATTTTACATGTTAAATATCAATTGATTTATTCGGTTGGTCGTGAACAACAAGTTGATGGAGGTGTAGAACGTTGGAAAACTATTCAATCGATTTTAACATTTGTCAAACAACATGCTGCAACTATTGCACATCAGTATGGAGATGACGTTTTTTATAAAGCCTCAACACGTAAGAGTCATTTTCCAGAATTTCGTTTATTATCACATCAACCATTTCCATCATTATGTAAACTTATTCTAAAGGAATGGCTTAATCAAAGAAGTTTTCGTCAGAATGAATTGCAGTTGATCGAATTGTTTATCTTGAATACAGACTCATCTATAGATGACCTGAGTGATCGATTTCCCGAGACAACTATTCAATTATTTCTCATATTACGTGGTTTATTATCATCAGAATTATTATTTGTTGCTCTGAAAAGACGCTATCGTGTTAATTTCGGTGTGAATCAAAATTCGAAGTTTAATCGTTTAATAGCGGTACCATTTCGTGCGAAAGATGTTGCAGCAGAGAATACAGAATTTGGTCATCCAGATATTGCTATAATTTTAACTCAACTTTCTTATTATTACAGTGGTTTAAATGATAAACAAATGTTGCAATGTTTCGATCGTATGAATGAACAAGAAGAAGATCCTGATATGATTTATGAGGAATGGATTTCTCAAGAAGATAAAAATGATAATCTAATTTCAAAGATTCAACATTGGAAATCAATTAATTTAAAAAATTATCAACAAAGAACGGAATATCTCTTTCCAGGTTTACGTCATAATATCTTAGTAATTAATTATTTTCTTAATCATTTTGTGTTTCCTCGAGAAGCAAAACAATTTCCACATAAATTAGTTTCTACTCCTTGGGATTTATCATCATCATTTTCACGAAAACAAATCATCACTGGATTTAGTGGAACAAATGATACACAATTATTACTACCGGCTCATATTCATCAGTGTGATTTACCGGAATTACAAAAAACAGATGCTCTCGTTCTCAATAATTTACTTCGGACCGAAAATGAAAATTATCAATGCTTACCAATCAGTGCGAGTTCGGAGGAGATTTTAAAACAAATTGTCAATTCTCACTTGAATATTCAAGTTATTCTTGATGTTGGTGCATTATTTATCGATGGAACAAATCATCAAATAGCAACGAAATGGTTGAATTTATTAGATAAAAGTAAAATTGACTATGCAGTTTATTTCGAATCGGATGAAGTTTTTGTTAGTGATCGTCTCAATCGATTTCATGCATTTTCGACATCACCTGCTAGTGAACGATTAGATCGTTGCGTATTTTATCTCGATGAAATTCATACGCGAGGAACAGATTTTAAATTTCCAAGTGGTTTTAGAGCAGCTGTAACATTGGGAAATGGTTTAACGAAGGATCGTTTAGTCCAAGCATGTATGAGAATGAGAAAATTAGGCATATGTCATTGGTTAAGTTTTTGGAGTTCAAATGAAGTTCATCATCAAATTGAAATGTTGAAAAGAAATTCATCATCATCATCAGATCAGAAAAAACATTCAAATGAGCAGGTCACTCTGGCTGATATCCTTCGGTGGGTGTATGAAAATACTCAACAAGCAACTTGGGATGGTTTACATCACTGGGCTACACAAAGTTTAAGTTTTCAACGGAAAGTAACTGCTTTTCGAAACATCTATCAAAATACTTATCAACAAAGGTATACAAACACAGTGATGGAACAGTTAGCTAAAGATTGTTTGGAAAATGAAATATTGGATTTAAAGTCAATGTATGGTCCATCAAAAACTTGGCAAACTATTTATGAAATTTACTGTGCTCGGTATGAATATTTTCAGATATGTTCATCGATTGAAATTCATGAAGCTGTATCTAAACAATTACAGGAGTATAGTGGATCAAAAACATTACTGTCGCAATTATTAGATGAGGAACAACAGCGGGAATTGGAACAAGAACAGGAAATGGAAGAAGAACGACAACAGAAACGTCCACCAGCTGTTCAACCTTGCGAACCTGTTCTACACAATGAGATTCAAAGATTATGTGATATGCAAGGTCCTGTGGTGAATTTATCTAAATTAACTACAGTATTTCGTCCTTTAAAAGATGCGTTTCTTGATACTACATTCCAACAACACAGCCAATATCATTGTTGGCAAAATAATCTCTGGATTTCAACGGAATTTCAACGAGTCATTCAAACACGAGGAGAATCATTAGATACATTTCTACGTCCTCCACGATGGGTACTCTTCTATCGCAATAAAGACGTTATTGTTGTTAGTGGTTTTGAAGCCAATTGGTTGTTAGGTCATTTACAGCTTCTTCATCATAAACAGAAACTAGATAAACCAGTGACAACAACATTACGACTTCTCCTCCCACGCCTTCAACGAAATCAATCGATTTTCATTGATATTCCACGTCTCACCATTCCTCCAAATGTTTCTTTTTCTATTCCAGTTCAATGGTTGGCTCAATTATTTGTTTTTAATGGGACTCTATATTTCGATACTGTTGAAGAACAAACAGCTTATTGTCAATGTTTAGGTCTATGTCCAAAACCACGAACAAAACTTGAAGATGATGCTTTCGACAATGGGTGGATCGCTCTCGATGGTTATGTAGAACAACTGAAACATCGTCAACAATTACAAATTCATCATTGTTGTTTCCCTTCGAATCCATTGACATTTGTAAAAAAACTACTCGAAAATCGAAATTGTTCACACGCACCATTGACATCACATGTTGGCAGTATTATTTTCAATGCAGTGAAACTTCCAGTACCATAAACTCGATTTTTTACATTTAATACTGACTGATAATTTCATCATTTATTGATGAAAAAAAAGAATGTTTTAATAATCAACAATAAAATTAATATAATTGAGTTTGCATGACCTTAATTCAAAAATCTAGACGATAGATATGACACCTAGAAATCGTAATACCATAGTGTTCTATTAAGATCATATGGGAAACAGAAACCAAAGGAAAATATACATATACGAAAAAATAAGCAGACGATAACTTCTCACGCATTGTCTGTTGCTTAAGAACATATTTTTTTACTTGTTAGGCTCGGAGAACACGTAGATTCTCAATCACATAAAATGTAATTTTTTAATTGAAAAATCAATTATTGAATATCATAACTAAAAATGTAAATTACAACATTTCTAATCAAAAGAAAATATTCGTTGCAATATTGTCGATGAACTTACTAATAGATTATTATGAAAAATATAATACTTTACATCTACCACATTTGTATATGTATGACTGACGTAATACAATATGATTTGTAAATAGTGAGGAATGAACTAAAATAAAGAGAACACTTGACCTACTGTCGTTTTACATTATCGAATGAACTGTTGAGAAGTTAGTTAATTTATAATTTGTTCTAGTCGCTGATCATATGACATTTCTTTAGTTCTTTTCAACAGTAAGAGTCAATATTTTCATACATTATTTATTCGAGTATAGTTTTACAATGCTTAAAATATTTAAATTTGTTTATTTGGATGATCAACTGATCCTAATCGTAAATGTTGTGTTCGATATTTTTCTTTTTTTGATGGAATATTTTCATGTTTATGTAATAATGGTTCCGTTGATTTTATGCTATGTCGTATAACAACTGGTGAGGATTCACTCATTGTTCGACTTCGTTTTCTACTCGAGCGCTTACGAAATGAACGATTATAAAATAATAATAACATTTGTTTACAACTACAATATGCAATAATACCAACGAAAAGAAAAGCAAGATGAGCAAGAAAAATTGAAAGCCATTTTCGAGATTGTGATTCTACAGATGATTTCAATTCAATTGGTTTGGTTATATTAAAATGACGATTATGTGGTTGACTATAATTATATTCATTAGCAGCTTTGATACATTCATTTTCTTCAAAAAAAAGAAATAAAATGATGAGAATTTTGTTAAAGTTAAATAGAAAATGAAACTGTACTAGAACCGATGACTTGAATTGGATGACATTGAATATTAGTTGCTGGAAGTTTGAGACCAATTTCACCAATAAAACATAGATGATATATTTCACATAAATTTAATTGACATTGAAATATAACTTCAATACCTCCATTTTCTAAAATAATCGGTTGATTATTC